TACCAAATACCATTTTTAGACTTCTTGCAATTTAAACACGGTGAGTGTAATTTAATTTCTGAAAAGAAACACTTCTGTTTTTTTTAATAATTTATTTATTGTAATATTGTATAATTTATTGTATAATTTATTTATTGCATAATTTATTTATTGCAATTTACTACACTGTTAAAATTACCTAATTTTGCCGCATTTACTACACAACCAAACAGCATGGTAATAAAAAACCTATTTTCTTGTTAACTTAACAAAAAAGTCGTTACCAAAGAGTTTCGGTAAAAAAAAAAAACCATGGTTTTTGGTGTTCTCATAGAGCCAGAAACACGATAAATTTGACCCTATTCTGGTTGTTTTGAACACATGATTCTCTGAGTACAATTTCGTAGTGTTGTTCAGTATTGATTCTTTGATTATTTTCTTTTTTCACCCCATACGAAGAATGGCTATTCTAGTTTATCTATACAATTTTTGATATCTAGTATAGGTTATAGTTTTGGCATCTAGTTCTTATAAAACATGTTTCTATCAAATTCATCACTGTCAAGAAATGAAAAGATTCATTTCAGTTAATCTAAGGATAGGGATGACAGGTGAAATATCTACTTGTGCCTCACCTAATGGTTGCTCTAATTCATTTTATTCATTCCTTATTCGAACCTCATCTAAAGTTAATTAAATCTATTGTACTTTTAATAGAATATTACAAACATCGATGTCTGCGATATTTGGTGAAGAGAAAATATAGCGCATGCGTGTAAAATGTTCTTTACTCTTTTATACTTAATTTTTAGCTTGAAACATATTTATCATTTAAGTCTTTAAAAACAATCTAAATTTAAAGCAAAAGTTATGAATAGTTTTTAAAATAAACACTGCTGATCCCATACAAAAGCATGTTTTCAAACTTGAAAACATAAAATGTTTTTGAAAAAATCTTTGTTATGAATTCTAATAGTCTATAACAATTGAAAATATTGTTCACTAAAAAGTGAACACTAAACACCATAAAAATACATATACACCGAAGAGCCATTACATTATGACCACCCTGCTAATAGCATGTAGGACCACCTTTAGCCCTCAAAACTGCTAGCACCCGCCGTGGCATTGATTCCACAAGGTGCACATAGGTAGTCTGAGGTGTCTGGTACCAAGCGCTCACCAACTGGTCCTGCAATGCCCTCACTTTGCGAGGAGATAGCGTGGCACCACGAATTTGGTTTTCCAAGTAGGACCACAAATGCTCTATTGGATTAAGGTCAGGTGAATGTGGGGGTCAAGACATGACTCGAAAGTCACTGGAATGTTCCTCGAACCAATCCATGACGATTCGACTCTTATCACATGGTGCATTATCCTGATGGTAAACACTATCCCCCGCAGGAAAAACTGTTGCCATGAATGGGTGAACCTGGTCTGCAACTATGTTCAAGTAGCTTACAGACCTCAGGGCTTGTTGTATGAGGATTATAGGTTCTAATAAGCCCCATGAAAACATTGTTCCTGGGCAAGAAACCATAAAAACCAGGGTGAAACCATTGTTATAGATGGAGGGTGGTCATAATGCAATGGCTCTTCGATGTAGCTCATTGTATTAATCATAAAACAAAAGAAAATACCGTTTTCCTTACTGTGTACCAAGGATAATTAAATAGAATATCTTATTTTTATATTTTATAAAAATAAATTTGAGCTTGAGTTTCCTGTAAACAACTTAGTCGTAAATTAATTGAAAAAAGAAGGAATTATACCAAAACAAAATTATTTTTATCACGTTGACTTCAAGCTTTATGTTTATTTAATTCTAAATTAGTTTTTTGAGGCATAAATATTTAGTAATTTAATAAAGTGAAGTAAATTTTAAAGTTAAGCATATATTTTTAAATGTTTATTAGATGAAAAATGCTCTAATTGCCCCATTTGCTTACGATTTATTTATTTTAATTCATTAAATTGTGTTTAAAGTCTAAAAGAAAATAAATTTAGGTGAAATAATTTTTAGCATTATGCTTACTGAAGTCGAAGTTCAATGTTAAGCTTGAATGCAATGAAAACTAGTTTACTCTTATATTAAACTAAAATGAAACTAAATAAGTTGAAATTGAAACATTTAATTCCCGAGGGAAATTATTTGAACATCCTATTTTCAAATAATTTCAAACGAATGTTTTGTAAAAATTTATTCATTTAGAAAAAAGCTAGGACATTAATAATACTTTGCTTTTTATTCATTCTTTTTTCATAGAAAATTTATTTCGTGATTACATTTGTGATAAAATATTTAATACTAATGGAATAGGATAGTACTACGCTATGCATTTATTTATTTTATGTCGTAGAAAACTATCAACTCACAAAAGTCATAATACGAAATCCGAAAATTAGTATTTTAGTTAAAATTAGTTTAAATATTAGATTCAAAAGTTGACAGAAACCTAATTTTTTTAAATAAAAACTGCTAACTAGTATACTTCTGATTTTCATTTTTTTATTAATATGTTTATTGATATCGTGATATATAAGAGCAGTTCAAGTTATTTTTGAAACTAATTATTTGTACACGTAAAAGAATTCTGTTAAAATAACCATGCTGTATGGAAATGACATTTCTGGTTAAGAAATCCCTATTATTCTGGTTAGCAAAACCAAAATATGCGGTATGTAAACCAGTCATTTAGTAATTTTTCTGTCCATATAGTAATAGTTTACAAGAAATTCTGGTTTGCTAAATTGAGAAGTAAATTAAACTAAATGGTTTTTATGCAATGTTCTAAGGTATTATGATAAAATTACCGAATTTAACCACATTTACCAAATTTTATCAAATCACATATTATAAAATCATATATTATTATTAATTTTACCAAAATCATCACCAAAGCACTTTATTAAAAATAACATTGATGCTCCCACAGAGCTAGAAACATGCCAAACTTTTCTGGAAAAAAAAACATATTCTGGTATTTCTGACCAAACTTTTTTTTTCTCAGTGAAGAGTAACTGTCACTTTTGTTGAGCACAAAATTTGTTGTTTTACCCCATCTATAAGTTTCATTGCTGAAATAGCACATTGTATTTAACTTATATTGTTTTGCTTGTAACTGCCTTTTTCATTAAATATATTACTAAGTTTATAAAAATACAAAATTTCGAAAGACCGCTACCATTAAATATTTCAGTGATTCTTTTGGTTTTGTTACAAATTATCCGACAGAATTGATTAATATCTACATTAATATAGACATCTATATTAATATCTATATTGATATTGATCTATATTAATATTGGTTAACATGTACTTTTAAGTAGCAGAATTACATAAATTGTTATAACGCGATATTTGACACAATTATATCAGCGAGTTTTAAAAAAAATCTGGATTAAAGATGTACCAGGTCCAAAAAATCTACTGGGTCCTGGCTCTCGGTGATCTTCTACACAGCCGGTCCCGGGTACCTGGTAAAAAAAACCAAATTGGACCCGGGTACCCGGAAAAATTTGGATTTATTACTATTTATTGGTTCCGCGTAATAGCAACATTTCAGAAAATATGCGAAAAAATCATTCAATTAGTTCTCTTGATAATGTAATAATTACACTGCTGGGCAATTGCTAAGGAAAGAACACAAATGGGTGCATAGCACGCAAGAAATTAAGGGAAATAAAAGAATGCCAGAATGTTAGGACATTTTAAAAAAAGATAATTTTTGGGGGCTTTGAAACCAGAAGGTTTGAAATGTGTTTAGAGAACAAAATATTCGTGTAGTGCTGAAAACATGAAAATGAAAGAAAAAAAATACCAAATACCATTTTTAGCTGTCTAGGAGTAAAATGCTTATGGGGGGGGGGTATGACAGCCATGTTTGGTGATGCAAGTTTCCCGACGCAGTAGTATACTTTGCTTAACAGTATTCAGCAGATGCTAAATCAATTGATCTCATTCTTCTGTCAGTAAACGGATGAGAGTGCCTTGTTAATTGCAGGACATTCTCGATCCCCAAAAGCATCCCAAACATTTTCAATCAGATTCAAATCTGGTAAACGTGCTGGCCGTACGAGGCGATGAATATCATCGCTCTGTACACGCTCCTCGACATCAACTGTTTGATGGTGCGTTGCGTTGTCATCCGCAAAAAATTATCACTGACAGCACCACGGAACAAGCGGACGCGATGCAGAAGAATATCATTAATGTAACATTAGCTAGTTATAGTCCCAGTTGGAAGCATACAGAGGGGCATACGGCGATTAAATTCCAGCCCATACTATGACACTACATGTAGGATATCTCTCCCTTTCCTGGATGTTTTCTTGTCTATAAGCAGTACCAATCTCACCCCAGATTATTTGGTTAAGGCGATCAGACGATAGACTGAATCTCCTCTCCTCTGAGAATAGTATGTAAGCCCAGTCCTATTTTCAGTTGCAATTCTGAAGACACCATTGTAGCGTTGGGGGAGCTACGGTGACGTCTGGACAATGGTATATCCTCCCCTCGAGACGTCTGTTACAAATTCTAGTTGTTTGAAATGATTGTCAAAGGTCTTGATGTCCAAATGTTGTCCCAAGCCCTTAAACAATACTGTGGCTAACGTTAAACTCTTTGGCAACATCTGTTTTTCAGCCTTCTTCAATCTTACCGAAAATATGACCAAGTGTAAAATCATCTGAATGACGTCGGGAGACTAATCGAAAATCTCAAGTTTATCAATTGATTGTTTTCCGTTAAACTTTGATTTTGAACAACAAGGCTCAATACGCGTCAAATTTTTTCTATCTCTTATCAGCGCTGTCATGTGACAAACCAGTTCGACAACCTAAAATTAGCATACGGTAAACACGTCTTACTGTATCTCACACTTATGCTAAATTTCCCACATCCTACCTATAATTTTGTGGTTGCTATCTTTGCTATCATCATCCGTTCTTAGCATTTGTCCAGCAATGTATGATATAGTGCCACAACAATTTTAACCTCCGATATACTGGTACAGAAATAAATGCTGAATATAAAATATTTCCCTTTTTTAAAATGGTAATAGTCAAAATCAATTTATTTAGAAAATAAAGTTTTTTTTTCTCCCTAGAATCTAAATGAAATAGTTTCNGCCTCAACAATTTTAGGCTCCGATATACTGGTACAGAAATAAATGCTGAATATAAAATATTTCCCTTTTTTAAAATGGTAATAGTCAAAATCAATTTATTTAGAAAATAAAGTTTTTTTTTCTCCCTAGAATCTAAATGAAATAGTTTCGCAACAGAAACATTTCAATTAAAATACTTTCAAAATTTACATAAAATATAAAATGACTTTGATGTGTGAAAACCAATTAAAACTGAGGCATCTTTGCTCAGATCTCGACAAGGATCAAAAAACATATTTTAAATAACCGATGAAACTTCTGTTGACTGCAAAGTTTGCGTTTGTACCCGTTTGCGGTATCTTAAACAATAATGGATTTTAATTTCCTCTAAGTCTGAAATTCTCTAAGCATTTATCCAGTCTAAAATATTTAACTGGTAGACTGGCTTTTTTTCCCTTTATATTTTCGTAAACTGAAAAGGATTGGCACCTAACTAAGGCTCTAAAGTTGAAACAATCTATTTAATATTTTTAAAAATGTGACATTGCTTAACACGTGATGTGACAAAATAATAATGTAAAATATGCTTTTCGAAATGTTTTGTTTTGTATCTACAAACTTACACTAGTGACAATTTTAAATTAAAATATACTTATAGTGCTATGAGAAAAAAGTATGGTCAAAATTGAAATTTGAAATTTATTCTGTTTCTGGCTCTATGGGAACACCAAAAAGCTCGATAATTTTTACCGAAGCATTTTGGTAAAGGTTTTTATAAAATTGACAATAAAATATGGTTATATGATTCGTGATTAAATTTAGTAAATGAGGCAATTTTATTGTGAAAGAATGGCATAAAAAGCATTTTTTTGATTAAATTTACTTTTCTGTTTTGTATTTTTTACAAAATGTATGATACTAGTACTAATAATAATTTTGTAAACTGGAATTTCCAGTAAATCGTTACCATATGAATGGAAAAAATGCCAAATGAATGGTAGCAATGGAAATGCCGTATGAGTTCGTAGCATAAAACTAAATTTTTTTTTAATGTAATGCTTTATAGAAGCCTGAAATTTCAGTGTGACGTTTAGTTGCTTGAATATTTTGAAAAGTATAACTTTTGTAATTATAACAAACTTTGCATAATTACCTTTATCAGACCATCTTCACAACCTGATGCGATCCAGCGCCCATCAGGACTGAATTTCAAAGAATTTACGGACTTCGGATGACCCTGAAAACACAACAATTTGATATCAAAATAAAAAAAAGAAATGCAAATTTTTATCCAAAGAACATCTTCAAAGGGACTAAATTGTGTATTAAGACAATAGAAAATATTTAGCTAGGAAATTGAAACATGTTATAACTTTTTTAGCTTATCTTTTATTATTGGTATTTGACCAAGCGTATTGATGGATATTTGTAAATACAGTTTATATTTTAAGAAATAATATTGCAAAATGAACTTAATATAATTTTAAGAAAGATCTAGACTTCATAAAAAAACAACTTCATAGACTTTAATAAAAAATTAAACTTTTTATAAAAAACATAGCACTTGTTGTTTCCAATTTTTTTCTTCAATCGAAGTACTTTGCCAAATAATTTCGAATCCGAAACCATCATGTTCTATAATTTTATTGATATACGAAGCAACATTTTTTTAATTAAGTATGTTTCTGAGATACTGTATCCCAACTTTCTGTGTGAAATATTTTTTTTTCATTTTCACGAAACTTTTTGTGGTTGTTAATATAAAAAAACTAATATTTTTTAAGAAATTTCTGTCTATCTTAACATCTGAGTCTACGCCGACCGGCCTGTGTAGGGGGCAGGGAACTGTCTTTGCATCAATAATAAAAAATAATAATAAAAAAAGAATTTGATAAATATAAAATAAGTAAAAAAAGTACTTTATTAAAGCAACAACTATTCACGAATTTTGGTAATATTCGGGAAAAACGAAATTTATTGTGGATGAGTTTAGGAAAACTCGTAAGCATCAGTTCAAATATTTTATGCCAAAAGAGATTTCGTAATTAAATATTTAAAAGAATAGTTTTTTTATGGATAAAGTCCAGCTTCTAGGCACAATCCAAAACGAAAACTTTCATGAAAGCATTATGTAAAGTTATAGTAAATTTGATATAATAATGTCTTTCTTTTCCCTTCGATGCACTATAAATTTTATTTTATTGTAAATGTTATATATAAAAAATTAAGAGAGTTTTAATGTTTCGTTTATAGTTTCAAAAGTAATAATAGCATCATCTTCAGTAAAAAATACAGAAAAAAAGGTTTTTATTTTTTAGGATAATTCTTGCTGTGTTGATTGTGGTATAACTTTTATTTGCTATTATAATATTAATTCTTACATAAAGAATTTTTCAAAAAAATATGTAGAAAAGAAATAATTAAAAGCATTTTTACCTTGTAAGTGAATATGCTTCCTTTTCTTCTTTTATCCCAAAGCTGTTAATTAAAAAAAAAACAATTACACTCTTGTAGAGAAAAAGTATAATATTTTGAGCGAAAACATATACAATTTTGAGAAAAAATACAGTACTACTTTCTAAAGAAATACAAAACTTAGTTGTATTTTTCATTTTATAAAAGTTTGTAAGGTTATACAATATTCAATTTAAAAAACTTTCGGTATAAACTGAGCTGTAAGCTAGGGAGCATGAGTTATAATATTTTAAATTATCTAGGGTTACATTATCTCTTAAACAATATTAGTTTGATGTTACATTTAGGTTGTTAATTAAATATAATAATGATCACACTAAAAAGACTCAATTACTTCTCCCTACTTTATATAAGCGTAAATACTGACGTCATTTTATTAATTAAAGAATAATTTACTAATTTATATAATATATGTCATAGATTGTACAAATACTTTAATATTGCCCACGTTTTATTTACTTCTTCAATTTTTTAATATTATGTTATGTCTGCTATTTTTCATTGAAATTGTCACTTTGCTTCAAACAGCTCAATCAAGGCCTCCAACTGCCCTTTGCTATAGATGTGATTTTTACAAATGAAGGAATTTTGGCTGTGGTGGCTCAGGGGATAGAGCCTTCGCCTCCCAATGAGGTGCCCCGGGTTCAAATCTCAGTAATGGTTGGTCGAATTCGGCACCCGGCTCACATTGACCTTAGTGTTGACGCAAAATATCCTCAGTGATAAAGGGATAATGGGTTAGAGTCCCCTTGCCGTCAGGATAACCGTGAAAGGCTTTCGTTGTTTTTCTCACCATGTAACGCAAATGCGGGTTAATTTCAATAAAAAGACTTCAATGACAGTAAATTTCTCCCAATACTTGATCCAGGAGTTGCTTTGTCTTCTGGATAGGGTTCAAAATTACAAGGCTACGGAGTTGATCTTTGGTAGTCGCAAACTCAAAATTGGATCAGCTGTTCAACGACGATGATAAAATAAGATAGAATGAGAGGGAAGTGAAAAAATGAAACAAAATTTCAATAGCGAATTGAAATTTTTTTTAACAAAGAAAAATGAATTTTTTTTAAACAAAGCAATAAAAAACCAGTTTGGTTAAAACCAACGTATGAATCGAGGGAACAAAATTAATATTTAATAGATTTTTATTGTTACAAAGGGTATTTTTTATTTAGCTTTCTGCATAGAAAAAATTCATTGTCAATATTTGCGAAAATACCACACTTATCACTGAAGCACAATCAAAAGCTCTTTAACCAATATCTATATCTTAGTAATCCTAATCTATATCTATAAAACTACTCTATCTTGGGAGAAATGTATTAATAAGATTCATTGAAGAAATGTTTATTGCTAAGTATTGATTGTTTGAGTAAACGTATTATTTAGTACTAATAGTTTTCACGAAATCTAAAAAAGCAATGAGTTTTTTTTAAAAGAAATCAACACCTGCTTGCATTTTTAATAGTGTAATATTGATAATTAATTACTTCAAGCCCCAGCCTTGAAAATAAATTATATCAATATTTTTTTGTTACTCTAAATTAGTATTATATTGTTTTAATAATATAATGCTGGCTATACTATGTAGACTCTTAACTAGTATTATATTTCTTTAATTAAAATATAAGGGATCATAATTTAAAAGGAAAAATAGCTGTTTCGATTAATTTATTGAGTACAAAAATTAATATTTCTTTGTAGAAATAACCTGATTATTTAAAATCCAGCGTATATTTCGTTTTAAATATGTTTTTACTTTTTACAAATAAATGCAATTATAAATGGGCCTGCTTACAAAAATGTTATTTCTGAAGGAAAACATGAAGCAAAAATTTATTTTAATAGTTGTTCTGTTCTATCATTATTTATTTAAACTATAATGGAGTAAAATAAATAGCAAACATATTTTGTTTCAAATTATATAAATGTTTCATGTTTTGCGCTGTTATTTTCAGTATTCTATAAATGAAATAAAAATAAACGTATTATTGAGCAAAGAATTTTTTTTTACAAAATCTTAAAACCTAATGAGGTTTTAAAAAAAATCTCAACACCGACTTACTTTTACTCATAGAGTTATATTAATAATTAATTACTTCAAGGCTTTGGAAATGAATTACATCAATATTTTTCTGTTACTCTAAACTAGTATTATATTGTTTTAATAATATCATACTAGTTATATTAGGTAGACTGTAAACTAATACTATATTTTTTTAATTAAAACATAAAGAGTTAGAGTTTAAAACGTGAAACAGCTGTTTTGATTAATTTATTGAGTTAAAAAAAGAATATTCTTTTTTAGAAATAGCCTAATTATTTGAAACCCAGCATATATTTCTTTTTAAATACATTTTTACTTTTTACAAATAAATTCAATTATAAATGGGCATGCTTACAAAATTGTTATTTCAGGGGTAAAACGTAAATCAAAAGTTTATTTTAATAGTTATTATTTTCAAACATTATTTATTTAAACTATAATGAAGCAAACTATGTAACAAACATATTTTGTTTCAAAAGATATAAAGACTTTATAATTTATGATGATATTTTCATTGTTCTATAAATGAAACAAAGATGAAAAAAATTCCGTAGAAAAATGCAAATTTACTTTAATACTGCTGTCAGAAGACCCGGAAGCTATGAAATCCCCATACGGATGAAAGTCAACACATTTGACGTTTCCTTTGTGTCCCAAAAGAGTCCTTAAAACTGCAAAGAAAAGAAAAGAATAGGTGGAAAAAAAACAATTAATTTAAAACTAACAAAGTTAATTTTTTACGCTTGAAATGAGAGTTTTAGGCAAGAATGTTTCATTAATTTCAAGAAAATAGTGTTCGTTAAGCATACAAATAAGTGTATTTGCTATTTGAAAATAATTTATTGCAGAAAATAGATGATGGATAGATGTTTTTAGAAAGAGGTTAAAAATCTGGTAACAAATGTTTGTTTTACGAAGGTATTTAAAAATGTTCCATCAAAACGACCGTAGCAAATGTAGACTCATTTTTTAATCGTATTCTTAGTTTTAACTTTTTTCTTTCACTCTTTTCTTCCTAAAATACAGCATTATTTGTTCGTGCTTTTTTCTATTAAAATAAAAATTATAGTTGCAAAGAAAGATCAATGTTACAAGAAAAAAAATCTATGTTACTGAGGTGCACCCGATTATTCTTAAAATAGGTTTTTTTTGCATGTAACTATAAACAACAACAGTAATTGTAGGCAACTAATTTCTAATATAGTATTATGAAAAATTATACATGTAAGAAAATATAAGATAAATTAAGAGCATGGCATTGACATAGAATAGACAGTGACAGAAAAATTGGCATAAACGAATTAAAGATAGACAGTGACGTAATAGAGATAGACATAATAGACACACACGACAGACAGGAAAAAAAACATGAAGACTGAGGCATAGACACAATCAACACAAACTGAGAATGGTGTTTTATCTGGCAAAGTTATTTAACCCATTCAGAGACGGTGGATAGACAAAGAAGTGCTGTTCCAGGTTTGAAAAATCCGAATTTATAAACATCAAAGAATACGTACACGTACTAATACAAGATATAACATAAGAGTACCATATTAAAATCCCTTCAATTGTGTGATCTTGGGCTGCTACAGTCAGAAATTCTATATATGATGCACTACACGGAGAAAAAATTCTAGTAAAATTACAATATTGTATGGCAATGACATTTCTGGTAAGAAAGAATCCTAATTCTGGTATTAAAAACCAAAATATACGGTATTTAAACCATTCATTTGGTAATTATTTTCCTTTCATATAGAAATGATTTATCGGGAACTTTGGTTCTCAAAATTATTGTTATTATTACCACACATTTAGTAAAAAGTACAGAGCTGAAAAATAAAATTAACCGAACAAATGCTTTTTTTTTTAAACAGCATGGTAATAAACAGAATCATTACCAAAGTTCTTCCATAAAAATTATCGTGCTTTATGGTTTTCTAATAAGAGCCAGAAACACGGAAAATTTTACAATATTTTTGGTAGCTTTAACTATGCTTTTTTTTCTTAGTATGTGGGCTGCGAAGGAAGAATCACGCAATCTCATATATGTAATCATGGTACTGAAGAAGTTAATAGATAAAAAGGTTTGGCTTAGTTTAAACTTGATGCAAAACCTGTTTTAGTAAGTCAAAATAATAGTTAAAGGAGGCGTAATCAGATGCTGAACTTGCGAAAATAAGTATTCAATTAATTAGAGGCTACAAAATAAATTCGGTGATTAAAGGATCAAAGCTTTTCCAATAAAATGTTTTAAGGCATTGTCTACACAGTTTTTTATTAATTTCTACATAGCATGATGACTGCCTGCAGATAGTTGCATGTGATATCTGTTAAATAGCAGCAGTAATTTAGTCAAAAGTGGCGGATTTTGGTTTTATCCGAATACCTAGGTTTATCCATTTCTACACTACTTCAGATTTTATTGCTTAATCAACTTTGTTGTTGTTGTGGCTTATCCTCCAAATGTCTGACGAAGTCAAACAAGGTCCATTAGACCGCTGACCCTAAAGAAATCGAGGACCAGAAGGGGGGATGAATATATGTCCTCTATGGAAAGTCCCAAACAGTCCAGGATATGTTCGGGAGAAGTTTGCTCAGTTTGACATTTGGAGCAGACCTCGAAGTTCGACAGAACAGGGCAAGCTGAAGGTAATAATTTTTTTAAGTAGGACATAATATCTTAAAAAACTCCACTTTTTCAAACATCAAAGGTTTTATTTTAAATAAAAAATAATTTTAAAGATTATTTTATTCATTTATTATTATATTAATATTTATCTTTTAAACACATGTTGAGATTTTTATTACACCTCAGATCTTTATAAGAAGGATTAAAATCTCTTAGATAAAAGTCATTAAAATGCTTGTAGGATGCTTGCTTTGATTAAGGTGACAAACTAGTTGGTTATAGTAGAGAATTAAAAATAAATTTTTGGAATACTTTCCTTACATAGACAGTCACATTGCAGGAGAAAACGAGATCAGGTTAATTTTGATCAAAACAAAACAAAGATAAGAAAACAGTAACTTCTTTTTAGCTTGACTTTTGTTGTGCTTATCGTTAACATTAAAAATAAAGTATCCTAGTTCGAACGATTACATCGTTGGTTATCTTAAGTTATCGTTAAATTTTATGCTTTAAAAGAGTTTTTTTTAAATTTATTTTACTAAGACTTAAGAATAGTGATTAGATTGTATGATACGAACTTTCTTTATAGATTACAGATGATAGGTTTAGTGCAATTTATTATCTAAATATCTTACCCAACTTTCAATCGTTCCAAACTGCTTATTTTAACTGTTTTTCACGATATTTATATATCCAATTTCCACTTAAACGTAAAATGCTTTTAGCAAAATCGCTGATCCAATAAAGCTTAACGCATCCAACTATTTTAAACGACGACTATCGTATCTAACTGATGCACTTTAAAGCATGAATATAAAAGTGTCCAACCATATTTCTTTCATTTTTGTTTTCTTATTCTGAATAATGGTTCTCATAGATGAGTTGTTTTCAGATTTAAAAGTTCCCAGATTTTAAAATAAGTTGATGATAACTATAATGTGAAAGGGAAAGTTGTTTAATATTATTGAATTATAACGGGTGTTCATCAGATGATCGAAGATTTAAAAAAATCAATTTGAAGGAAAACAAGAGGATATAAACATTAAAAAAATTTCGTTTAATAAGAACGCTCAAACTTGCAAGGTTGCTTCTGTATAAAAAATTCATGCTTTTAACATGTAGGTATGGTAGATATTTTATTTACGCTGCACTAGAGCTGCTCAATAGGCTATTGGCGACGGTCTGGGAAACATCCCTGAATATGATCCGAAGACATGCCATCTCAATTTTGATCCTCTGCAGAAAGGATGGCACCTCCACTTTGGTAGCCCGACGACCAGCACGCGAAGTCGAGCACTTTACGGTCGAACAGTTTAACTAGGATCGATACTGCTCACGCTCGGTCCCTACGTAGGCTGATCAAAGTGGTCGCCGACCAGCTTACTGACCGCAGCCAGTGATGCTTGACCTCGTCTTTACGATCAGTCTACTGTGGAACGCTTTTAACATGTACTTATGTACACTTTTTACATAGAAACCCAGTAACTACCTGTACCTGATGGATATATTTTTCATGTATTTTGAATTGAATGAGATAAACTTCGATTCGAAAGGACAGATAGTTTAAAAGTTATAGTTTTTTTTCATTCAAAGCACAATTAAAAACTAGCACTTATTATACAGTAAAAATATTGCAAATTTCGAAATGTTAGTTCGATTGCCTCGTGTTTGGAATTAATTGATTGAGCCAAAAGAAAATGCATCGAAAAATATACAGTTAATAATACCTCATTTATCTCTAGAGCAATGTCAGATTCATAAGTATACTGAGAAAAAAATATCGTGGAAACTACCAGAATATCGTAAAATTAAAGATATTCTGGCTTTATGGGAATGACAATGTTAATCGCTAATTTTTACCGAAATGCTTTGATGACGATTTTGGTAAAATTAACAATAAAATATAGTTTTAAAATATGCAATAAAATTTGGTAATTCTTTCAAGGTATCTTAGACCATGGTATAAAAACCATGTACTCGATTAAATTTATTTTTTAGTTTTATATTTTTTACTGAATGGGTGGTGATAAAAACTACAATTTTGTAAACCCAGCTCAAAAAATTACTTCGGAAATAATGTCTCTAGATTGTTTTTTCACGCTTTGTCCGGATGATTTCTGGACAACAATGCAAAAAATATACAAAAGTTAATGTTAAAAGCCGTATATTTTATACATTAGAGACCAACATTTGAACTTTTCATTCGATTAATTCCTGTATAGACTTAATTAAATCAACATTTATTTTTAAAGAAAAAGAAAACGTATGGAACAATAAATCACTTGTATAGATAGTAATGTCAGATGCGTAAAGGATTCAATTTAAAAAATGTACTTTCTGCACGCAAAACTTTCATAACTTTAAAAATATTACTCGAGGGAAAAATACTGGCAAAATCACCGTGGCTGTTTGGTAAAGACATTTCTGGTGAAAAAACTACAATTCTAAGAATTAAATCAAAATATACGGTATTTAAACAATTTGTATGGTAATTTTACTCTTCGCTGCTGTTACGGTTTACCGGAAATTCTGTTTCTTTAAATTACAGTTCTTTTTACAATACATTCAATCTCAAAAAATGTGTCTCAAAAGTAAATGTAACCAAATAAATGGCTTTTATGCCATGCTCTAAAGTATAACAATAATATAATAGCCCCTCATTTTACCACTTATTTTGTAATTTTAAACTTTTGGCTTCTATAACTTTTACCAAATAGAACGGTAATAATCTGTTTACAATTCTACGGTTTTCTTGAAGTGGTCGTTTATTTAAATTATATTTAGGAGTTAGCTGACTGTTAATTTCGTATTTTTATTTAAGTTCTCCATTATAATAAGGGTTAAGGGACAACAATGATGAGTTCAAATGTTTAATTAAAGTATCTTAAAGATACTAAACTCAGACAAATTCACTATGCTGACTCTTTCCTTCATCTCTTATGTGATAGGAAGATTTATTTATTTATTTACGCACATATGTTGGTTTTTTATAAGTAAAAAAACGGCTTAAAAACTTTTTTCAGTTTTAAAAATAGATAGCACAATTTTACGAAAGACAGAAAGAATATAAATCTAGTGTTATAATGAGATTCGAACCAACTACATATTCCCTTCAGAGCAGTTAGCGGAATAGCAATACAACACTGCAAGGTTCAAGTAATACAACCATGTATTATTGGGCTGTCCATTGCCGAGGTTGCTATCATTAGAAACAGTTCCTCATTTGCCCAAAATTCAAAATTCCAATCTTCAGTCGAATTTTTTCTTTTTTCAAAACCCGAAGCACGATGTTATGCAACATTTTAGTGCCTGCTATGAGAAAGGTACTTAGCAGTTTGAACTATTTTAAGCTATCTTTACTGTAGAAGTTATGCTTAAGAGCACTCAGCAATTAAACATGAGGAAATATTATTCATAAAACATAGTTTGCATTAAATTAAAGCTAGGAAACAAAATTATATCGCTCTAAAAAATTAATAATCGAAAATGATTTCATTATTTAGCACAACTAAAAAAGAACGTGACTATTAACAGTAAAAAAAAAAGAAACATTCTTTACGTTTTGCTTATAGTTGCGATGCATTATGTTTAAACTCTGAAAGATACACAAAAGAAAGGTCAGATGTTTACCTGTTACCAAGGTAACGCTACATATTTATTGATATCTTACTTGAACTGTTATTTTTTAACAATGGATTGGCTTTAAGGAAAAAAGATTTTGCTATTTAATGAATTAAAATTTATTGTTAAAATTTAAGGGAGTGTATTGATAACGGAAAATGAGTAAAATGTTAAATGATTTCGACTTACAAAATTTCTTATTTTGTATTTAGCTAATTTTCGGACATTTAGGAATAATTTATTAATACTTTAAAAAATAATAACCGGGTAATTCTTTATATATATATATATATATACACAAATTAACATGAAAAACATGAATAAAATAAAAATAAAAAACTAAATGGTAGAGAAACAAGAATGGTAAAGGCAAATAGTCGTTGTCAAGACACATCTAATTGCCATAAATAATGCGATATTTCTGAATAAAGAATAATTATCCTAAGANTTAAAGGAGTGTATTGATAATGGAAAATGAGTAAAATGTTAAATGATTTCGACTTAATAAATTTCTTATTTTGCAGTTAGCTAATTTTTGGACATTTAGGAATAATTTATTAATACTTTAAAAAATAATAACCGTGTAATTCTTTATATATGTATATAAAAACTACACATTAAATACTGTGTTGTACTATTTCTCCGAATTTGTTGTTGAGCAACACAAAACATTTCGTGATTTTTTCTCCCCGTTAACACCAAATCGAGCTTTCATCTACAATTTGAAATATGAAGTTGTATTTAAAACACATATAATGGAAAAACAAATGGATCCAAGAAGGCTGATGGAACGGGTGCTGCAATTGTACAATATGAAGATGGCACAATCACGTCAACCACACAATTGAAACTTAATTCCTACAACACTGTATTCCAGGTGGGAGCAATAGCATTAAAGGAAGCCATCACTCACGCCAAAAAACAAAAAATCGCAAGCCAAACTACGATATGGTCAGACAGCTTTTCAACAATAATAGCACTTAAGAATTATAATACCACTCATTAGATTATACAAGACATCCAAAATCTTCTTAATAGTACTAATGGCCTCTAAATCTCATGGATTAAAGCACATAATAACAACGATGGAAACGAGCAAGCTGATAACTTAGATAAAGAGGTAATTTATAAGGGTCAATTTTTGAACATCGAAGTTCCACATTCATTCATTAAGCTTAATGCTAAAACACAAATTAAAAAGGACTGGCAACACTACTGGCATCATCACAAACCGAAATCTGGAATGTTAATCAGAGAAATTTTACCAGATGTCTCATTCAAACCTTTATAGTGGAACAGGCAGCTAATCCTCTTCTTTACAGAGCATGCCCCCTTTAAAGCGCATCTAAAACGCTTCTGTCTGGTTACTGACAACACCTGTGGAGGAATAGGAACAGTGTGGCATTATGCAATAGAATGTCCGATTACCACATCTTACCACTTAAAATAACCCAAGCTGCAATTCCTCATAGCCTAGCTATAAGAATCCAAAGTTGAAACAGAAGGCAACCAGCCTGATTAATTTTCTAGAAGAATACGAGGAAATCCTGAAATAATTTTCATGAAAAAATGACAAAATTATGCAATGTTGAGCACCAACCACTACTGAACTTGACCAATAATTTTTTGCAATTTTTTTTTTAAATTTCTTTTTATTTTCTTCTCTTTTTGTTTTTATTTGCTATTTTTTTCTCTTTTTTCCATCTGTCTTGTCTTCCAACCTTAACCATTAACAGATGAATGCCTCCTTAGGGGCATAGGCGATGGGTTAAATGTTGGTGTGTGTGTGTTTACACTAAGTCACGCGTATTCGCACCAAGTCTTTAAACATTTTTGTTGCGAAAACATCGTCGTTGGCGCACTTTTTATATCGTTTGCAGACTGTTTACAATCGATCACGAATTGGCGTGAAACAGATGGATAGTTTTTCCCGCTTCTAGACATCCATGGAAACAAAAGTTAATCTTTTCAAAATGTATGTTTGTTTTTAGTTATATAATAAAGACATTTTCAACGTAAGTCTCTTTAAACTGTAGTAAATAATATTGTAATACATAATTTCAATCTGGTTCTTCTCTGTCAAGCCTAGTTTGAATTTGTCTTAATATTCTTTGCCAGCTACGCGTATATTTGAATTACTAATACGAGTATGTTTTTTTAAAGAAATAATGTATAAATGCTTGCTCAATTAATGATTCTTTCTTTATATTGTCTGGTAAAAATAATTTAACTAACTTTTATGTTTATCTTATCTTACTGTTATTATAATTATTAGTGCTAGTGAATAGCAAAATGTAATGGTATCTACTTTACACCAACTACTGTAAAAGATCATTACTGATGTTTCAAAAGAGTACTTTTGGTGTAAAGTAGTTACCAGTATTTTTAGTGGTTACCAGTATTTTAAGAGACACGGAAATATTTTACAATGCAATTATTGAAAAAAATATTGCTTAGAATAAATTGTTCAAAACACTATAGAGGTTTTAAAGAAATATTGTATGCATACTAGCATTTTAAACAAATACTTACAATAATAAATTATATTAAAAAAATTCCTATATTTATATTAATATAAAAACTATGAAAGTTTATGACTTTTTTTAGAAATCCAAAACTAATCAAATAAGGAGTTTGTAAAGGAAAGATTAAATATATAAATTAAATAACTTAATAAAAAATAGAAAACTAAAAGCTTTCTTAGCATTTTGATTATTATTAACTGTTAGTGTAGTTGTTTTATACATTTCTGAGTCTCTTCATCTTCATATTTATATTTCAATTCCATTGATACTGAAAGCAATGAAATTTATTCAACAGTTAAAAATATTTCATAAAATAAAGCTTAGTAACAATTGAATACCTAAAGAATTTCTTTAATGCTTTGTTACTACCGGCATAAAAACAAATACGTTGATAGAAAATAAAAGTTTAAAAAAATACTTTAAGTTTTAAAAAAAGAAATTAAAATTTTTCTAACGCTTATATAAATCTGAATAAAAGCAAAAAGATATAAATTTATCATAAGTTACTTTAGTTTTCTTTATTTTGTATTTGATTCATATTTTTTACAACCATTAATCTTTAAGTTTCTAAATATTTATATATAGATGGACAAAAGCTTGAAATTACAATGAAAGCTCAAAAATGTAATTCTATGATTAAAGATATTTCAGTTCTTTTAGTAATGCATTTCCTGTGTATATTTAAATCTCATCATTATTTTCACACATTATACTTTTGACTTTAAACCATTCATAGTAAAGTTATAATAAAAAGTATTAAAAGTAAAAATAAATAAATAAATTGTTTTACTTTTGGCAGCTTCAAGATCCCAGATTTTTAAGGCACCGTTTGTAGAACCTGCGCAGACGATGTCTTCGCATTGGCCAAATTTTACACATTCTATAGGAGCAGTATGACCACTTAGGCTCTGTAAAAAAAATCAATTTTGTAATGAAAGTAACATTTATTGGTTTGTAACATTTTTGTTAGTTTCTCAAAGTCATTAAAATATTTGTTATATCCATTACAATAAACTCTATAAACTTCTACCACGAGATTACGGTAACTGGTCGTCAAAATTTATTCCAGTTTTCTGAACAAAAAAATATATTTACGAACGAAGAAATATTATGATCGTAAAAATACAACCCATCTCCTAAATTTCTTCTTGTATAATCTATGGCCATTGACAGTTAATTAACGTTGTGGTCGCAAAAGCTAAATTCTGTTTCAGCCTTGACGCACTTGAGAGAATCAGGAGATTTGTTTCTCGAATCAAGGTGAACCGTGGAATGAGGCAAAATAGTATACTGCTGTTTTCGAGTATTGAGAGAGTTGCCTGTTCATTTCCCATGATTCCCCAGATTATATATCGTTTAACTCAACAAATTTTGCGTTACGATTACGATTATTTGCCTTTCTTTTCAAAGAAAGAAGTTAGCTGTACTAACTTTGCTGAAGTTCGTTACAGATGCTGGACTTTTTTCTCAAAAAAGGGACTGGTTGTATAAATTATCGCCAACTGTCCAAATTTTTCAGAATTTTTTAAAGGTAGTTAAGAAATTCTTAATAAAAAGAACTATTTAATAACTTTTGGTTCTGAAATTGTTAAAATCACGAGTTTTTGCCAGAAATAAAACTAGAAAAGTTATCAAATTGAACAACGTACGCTGTAAGTGCACTAAAGAGTTTAAAAAATGTCCCAGAAGACTTAAAGGAATTTTAAAGTATAATTTTCAAAACTTGCAAGCGTACAATATAATTGTAAAACCTAAAGTGGTACAGATATAGATTTGATTCCACTTCAGAATAATGACATAATTTGTAATTTAGATATGAATAATAAATCAGTTGACTTAAAAATAACAGAGACGTACGCAGTTTTACATTAAAAACATATTTATATTTTTATTTACTTCTTCATAATGGAAATATATTGATTTTAAAATTCTATTTAATTACTTTTCATTTTATTTTCGAAGAAGGATCGTTGTTAAAATAATAATTTAAAAATAGTATCTGTTATCGGTTTTCAGAAAGAGTACTGTCTTCATTTTAATTTCCTTTATCGAACAAACATGACAAAGCACGTTTTCCCAAACATTTTTTGAAAAGAAAGCTATTGTATTTTTTTTCTAAGTCGGAATTTTGAATTATACTCCAGGGTAATCATTATGTGAGGAAACAAATATATTTCAAATTATAGCTGGAAGCGATTGTTTTTCTTTATAACCAACAGCAAAACTGTAATTGGATTGCTTTGTATCACGCACTAAAAATCATTATTCACTTGTAAATTTAGAAAAGTTTGATCTTTCGAATTTTCGAAGAAATTTCGCAGTTTTATGTTTCTTTAACGCTTTATGCTTTGAAAAAAATTAAATAATCTTTGATGTTATTTTGAATAACTTACTTAAATTTATTATATTATTATTTAGTCAATTAGCACTAAAGCAAATAAAAATGACCTTAAAAGATAAGTACAGTTTGTCTAACCAAAATCTAGCCACAGATTCTGATAGTGTTTGCTATTATGGAAAAAAGAAAAGCACGTTTTGAATCTAGGATGAACCTAGGTTTTAACCTCTCAAAACTTGTACTAAGCACCCGTACTTGAAATAGTTTAACATCATAACCAAAGTAACTGACAGTGCTATTAGTCACTGGTGTGGCGAATTCTTCAGTTAGACAGAAAGTAGTCGAAATATTTCTTGAAAATAGAGCTGATATTTTTTAAGTACACTGTAAAAAATTTCGTTTCCGATTACCGTAAAAAGTATCGGCATCCTCGGTGACTTATTCGTAAAATTAATTTTACCATGAAATAAATTTTTTTCGTGCAATTTTATACCGTTTATTTTACAGTAATAATTGGTTTCAGCTGCAGTGATTCAGTGATTTTACTGTAAATATTACTGTATAAAAATAACGGTTTATCAGATTTTTTGTTCCGAAAAACTCTGCGGTAAGAAGTACCCACACCCGATGAGTATATACATTTGACCGTTTCTTACAGAGTACAAATGGTTTTAAAGACTAGAAAAAAAGGAAAAACAGCGACGCTCAGGGGTAAAACTAAGTTAATTTTTTTCTTTCTGAGTGAAGGAGATGGTGTTAAAGAGCAGAAATAAGTAGAACTATACCAATTTGTTTCTGCTCAACTATGTGAGTTATTTTCTGTTTGGTTTCATGAAGTGTGTTNATCACATTTATTTAAAAGCCACACATGAATGAACAAAATTAAAGTAACCGTAACGGGTTAGTAATAACCTTGCAATATATATATATATATATATATATATATATATATTTGCAAAAATTAAGGCTATAGTTCGTTAACTCTTAAAGAGCGCTTTATTGTTTTCGGTCTTATGTAGCTATAGGCTTGTTTAATCACGTTTCTCAAGTGATCTTACTTCTCTGACCAGAATAGACTTTAACCTCTTTAGGATGAAATCACTATAAAATAATTATTTCATAAAATTGAGCCAAAATGTGACAAAATAGCTCCAAAACAAATATAGCTGAATTCAGAAATCTCACGTACTCATTATTGATTATAAGGGAGACATGCTCAAAACTGCAGATACTTATTTTTCAGAAAAATGCATTGACTTAAAAATGACACATTATGTACTCATTTTCAGTAATTTGTTGCTTAATTGAAAGTGGGCGTAGTCTCAAAAATGAGTCTGTGATGTGTTGGCATATTTTTGTACTCAATAATAAGTACATGGTGTTTTCAAATTCCACTGTGTTTCAGAACTATTTTAACTCATTTTTACTCTATTTTGGCAGATAACTTTACTCTATTTTTTACCCATTTTTCACCTACTATGCTCATTTGAATTTACTCTTTTTTTTTACAGTAACAAAAGTCTTAAATGAACAAGTTGTGATGTTTTTAAAATAAAAACCTAAAATGGCAATTAAGAAGGAATTGCTCGCTTAGTTTAAACATGGTTTAAATATAAATCTACAACTTTTTACGAATGGATTTAATATTTAATTTGTAAAATCTTGCAAATTCGGTTTTTAAAGGTGAACAGTGAACAGAAACTTATAACTAAATAATTATATAGCAAGGCAAAATTATTTTTTCCTGTATTCTCAGCATGTATTTTAATTATTAATATTTCCCACCATCTTGTTCCTTTCACAGGGTGAATTAAAAAATTTTTAAACTAAAAATACTAATGTCTTTGAATAATTGTATTTTTGGGAATATTTAAGTATAATATGTTGATAGATAAAATTTTAGCCTTATCTAATTCAGTCATACTCATAGCGTTAATTTTTTGATCATTTTCCAATGTTTAATACTGTATTGTTCCATAAATTGTGAAGTAAAGCATAACCGCATCAGCAAGTAAGAGGGCCAGGGGAGTAACGGAATGACCAACGGTATAATTGTGGCAATGTGGACAGAATTGCGATCAGGCCACTTTTGCTACCTAGGCTAACTGACAAACGTCCACTGAGGATCGAACTGCTTAATGACTTCACCACTGAGTAATTACGGTTCATAAATTGTACAATTCATAATTATATCTACATAATTTATTAATTTATTCATTCAGCTGCTAAAAAGCAAAATAATAAAAAAATTTCGCCTGTTATTTTCTAATTTTAATGTTTATGAATGCTGCTCACATCGCTTCAATGAATTGCTTTTTAGAAAATAATAAAGTTGAAATGATGATATTTACATTATGGATTTTAAAATTAAAATTAATTAATAAAAGTGATCCGACTAGCCCAAGTGAGGTACATAAATTCATCGATAATTTAAAGAAATATATTATAGCATAGAATTATCCAATAGAAAATTTCTCCATTTCGCAATGATTTTGTTTTCGTTTGAAAAAAATTTTTTTTTAAACTACATAAACTAACAAAAGTGTTACAAACATATCACTCGGAGAAAACAATTATGGTCAAAACTACCAGAATATGGTAAAATTTACTGTATTTCTGTATCTATGCACGGTTCTATTCACCAAAAAATCACGGTAAATTTTACCGAAGAGTTTTGGTAATGATTTTGTTAAAATTGGCAAAAAAAATATTGTTTTATAACAGGTGATAAAATTTGGTGAATATGGTAAAATCTGGTAAATATAGTAAACTTTGGTAATTTTATCATGATACTTTAGAGCATGGCATAAAAAATAGTCATTCGATTAAATTTACTTTTCAGTTTTGTATTATTTTCTAAATGTGCGACTATAAGAAATATAGTTTGAAAACTAGAATTTCAGTAAACTCGTTATTATTTGAAGGGAAGTATTGTTAAATAAATGGTTCAAATACCGTATATTCTGGGTTTTATTACTAGAATTATGGTGTTTTTTTTTTACCAGAATTGTAATTACCACACAGTGAGGTAATTTTACTAAAATTTCTTTCTACGGGTACTAAACATTTTTAGGAGCAATATTCAAACATTTTTGAAATGCTGTAAAAGGATCTTATTCTAAAAAGTGCCTGTTTAATATTTTTTCATAACCAACCTATTGTCTGAAAAATATGCTAAATTAATAAAAATTATAAAACAAAAATTGTAAATTTTTATAACAAATGTCTTCAGAATGAAGACAGTGTACCAAAATTTATTTCCCACGTATTATTGCACTAAGCATAAAAATCATTTAATTTCGGTCCTTCGTTTCAAAACCAAGTCAATTTACTTTCTGAAACATTTCAGAAAATGTTAAAAGAAAAAAAGCGATAGACTCGGTTGCAATGTATTGTAAATTAAAAATGTAGTACATAAATTGAATCACTCTAATAGTACGAGAATCGCTTTAAAAGAAATTTATTTATTTCAAAACGATTTAAAGGGATTTTATTCGATTAAAAAAAAATTATTTTTTGATAAATAAAGTAAATGATAAAAGTTAAAATAACATTTTTTACATCGCAAGT